CATTTTCATTTCTCTGATGGTTAGTGATGATAAGCACCTTTTCATATACCTGTTAGCCATGTGTATGTCTTCTTTGGAAAAACTCTTTGGGGATAAGGTTCTTTGCACATTTAAAAAATCAGGTTATTATTTTTTTTTCTGAGTTGGAGTCTCACTCTATCACCCAGACTGGAGTGCAGTGGCCACTCCCGGCCACTGCAGCCTCGACCTGCTGGGCTCCAGCGATCCTTCAGCCTCAGCCTTCTGAGTAGCCAGAATTACAGACACGCACTACCACGCTTGGCTGATTTTTTAAATTTTATTTTATTGTAGAGATGAGGTCTTGCCAAGTTGCCCAGGCAGGTCTCGAACCCGCGGCCTCAGGCAATCCACTCACCTCAGTCTCCCAAAGCACGGGATTACGGGCTGAGCCACTGAGCCTGGCTAAAAATCAGGTTATTTTAAAGATTTATTTTTGTTGTTGAGTTGTGTGAGTTCCTTACACAGTATTTTGGACATTTGCCACTTATTAGATATACGGTTTGCAAATATTTTATCACATTCAGCAGGTTGCCTTTTTGTTATGCGTATTGTTTCCTTTGCTGTACAAAAGGCTTTTAGTTTGATGTGGTTCCATTTGTTTATTTTTGCTTTTGTTGTCTGCGCTTTTGGTGCTATATACAAAAATAATTGCCAAGACCAATGTGGAGAAGTTTTTTTCCTCTATGTTTTCTTCTAGGAATTTTACATTTAAATCTTTAATCTGGCTGGGTGCAGTGGTTTGTGCCTATGATCCCAGCACTTTGGGAGGTCCAGATCAGAGGAATGCCTGAGCCCATGGGTTTGAGACCAGCCTGGGCAACTTGGCGACACCTCGTCTCTACAATAAGTCAAAAAATTAGCCGGGCATGGTGGCGCATGCCTGTAGTTCCAGCTACTTGAAAGACTGAGGTGGAAGGAATGCCTAAGCCCAGCAGATTGAGGCTGCAGTGGCTGTGAGTATGCCACTGTACTCCAACCTGGGCAACAGAATGAGACTGCCATGGATTCCCATGTCTGCCATTGATTTCCCACATCTGCTGTCTCTATGTGTTCAAAGAGACCTTTGCTGGGTGCAGGGTGCTTCACCCATCCAAAAGTGTTCAGGGTGTCTGTGTGTTGGTAGCTTGATCCCTGCTTTCTGCTCTCAAAAAAAAAATCTTTAATCCATTTTGAGTTGATTTTTGTATATGGTGTAAGATAAGGGCCCGATTTCATTCTTTTGCACATAGGAATCCCGTCTTCTCAACACCATTTGAAGAGATTTTCCTTTCACCATAGTGTATGTATTCTTGGCACCATTGTCAATGGTTAGTTGAGCATATATGCACAGGTTCATCTTTGGTCTTTATGTCTACGTTAATGCCAGTACCATACTGTTTTGATTACGATAGCTTTGTATTATAATTTGAAATCAGGGTGTATGATGCTTCTGGCTTTGTTCTTCTTTCTCAAGATTGCTTTGGTTATTGGGGTCTTTTGTAGTTTTATTTGAAATTTTAGGGTTTTTTTCTATTTTAGTAAAAAATGCCATTGGAGTTTTGATAGTGATTACATTGAATCTGTAGATTGCTTTGGGTAGTATGAACAAGTTAACAATATTAATTATTCTAATCTGCAGACAAGGGATATCTTTCCACTTGTTTGTATGTTCTACAATATCTTTCATCAATGTCTTATAATTTTTAGTGTATGGGTCTTTCACCTCCTTAGTTAAATTTAGTCCTAAGGATTCTTTTTGATGCTAATGTAAGTGGAATTTATTTATTTATTTATCTTTTGAACAGTTCATTGTTAGAAATCAACAATAAGAGTAATTTTGGAAAATCACAGATATGTAGAAATTAAATAACACACTCCTGAACAACCAATGACCCAAGGAAAAAAATCCAAAGAGAAACAAAAAAAGTATCTTGAGTCAAATGAAAATGGAAACACAACATACCACAACTTATGGGCTGCAGCAAAAATATTATTAAGAGGAAAGTTTACAACAATAAACTCCTACATTAAGAAAAAAGAAAGCTCACAAATAAGCAATCTAACTTTACACCTTAAGTAAAAACAAACAAATTAGACCCCAAATTCAGCAGAAGGAAGGAAATAATAAATATAAGAACAAAAATAAAAGAAGTGGAAACTAGAAAAACAACAAAAAAGAGATCAGTGAAACTGAGTTGGTTTTTTGAAAAGATCAACAAAGTTGACAAATCTTTAGGTAGACTAACCCGCCAAAACAGAGAGAGACAATTCACATAAAAAAATTATAAATGAAAGAGGAGACATTACAACTAATATCACAGAAATACAAAAGCTCATAATAGACTGCTATGAAAAATTATATACCAACAAACTAGATGTCTTAGAAGAAATGGACAAATTCCCAGAAACATACAGTCTATCCAGACTGAGTCATGAAGAAATAGAAAATCTGAATAAATGAGTAAGGAGGCTGAATTAGTAATCAAAAACCTCCCCCTAAAAAGAGCCCAGGACTAGATATGACCACATCTTTACTTAGCTTTTGCCCCTAGACTGTTCCCTGGCTTCTCCTCTCCTGAGGTTTCTTACCCGCCCCCCACCCCCAAACCATTTGCACCAGAATCCCCTACGAAGGCTCAGGTTATAGGGAAAAAAATGGAGGACAGAGGGGATATGCAAATAAAATAATTTCAATGAAACAGGCTGAAATCTTGGTTCTGAAAAATTATCTGGTCGTCCCAACTCTGAAATGTTCACTTGCCTCTTCACCCAGAGCTAGCATCTTACTGGTCTCTGTTATTCATTCTTTTCTCCTCGGCCCTTTCTTTCCAGGTTGCCGAGAGGAGCTACAAATTCATTTTGGCTATTTCATGCTGCAACCCAGCGTTTTCCAGTTCCGGAGCCCGAGCTCAGCTTTAGGCACATTTTGGCAAATCAAAGCCATTCAGCAACTGAGAGTCACAAACAGGGGCTTGGTTCAAGGCAGCTGTGACTATGAACAGCAATCACCGCGTTCCTCCAACACACATAAGGTCTGCGCGAGGAGCAGACCTCCAACACGGAGCCTGCCACACTCTACTCACTGTATGGAGCGCCTGCTCCTTGGACAAGGTCTCCTTAACGCTTAGGACCACTCACTGTTCTCCAGAGGCATTTAGAACGAAACCCAAATCGGACCCTGTCTTACAAGACTGCATGATTTGGGCCCTCCCTGCTTCTTGGATCTCACTGCTGTGCTCCCTTCTGCTCCCTTCTCACTCTCAAGCTATGTGATCGCCCCTCTTTCCCCTTCCTGCTTTGTATCTGTTGGTCCCCACAAATTCTTCCCTGCCTCCTCCCTGGATAAACCCACTCTTTCTTTTCTTTCTTTCTTTTTTGTTTGAGTTGGAGTCTCACTCTGTCGCCCAGACTGGAGTGCAGTGGCTGCTTCCGGCCACCGCAGCCTCGACCCGCTGGGCTACGACGATCCTTCCGCCCCAGCCTTCCACGTAGCTGGAACTACAGGCGCGTGCTACCACGCCCGGCTGATAATTTTTTTGATTTACCGTAGAGATGAGGTCTCGCCAAGTTGCCCAGGCGGGTCTCGAACCCGCGGGCTCAGGCAATCCACTCACCTCAGCCTCCCAAAGCGCGGGATTGCAGGCTGAGCCACCGAGCCCGGCTAGAACCCACTCTTTCTAAGTCTCCCTCCAAATGCTTCCTCCTCGGAGAGGCTACTCCGGGCCGCCCAAGTAAAAGGCAGCCGCTTTCTAGGAATGCTTCTCGCGGCCACAGGGCTGACCGCAGTACGCTGATTCACGTGCTTGCTTGCTTTTCGTGTGTTGCCTTCACTGCACGGTAAACCCCACAAAGGCAGGGCGTTGTCTCGACTGTCGTCGTAGTCCCCAGGGACAGCCAGCGCTCGCCCGGCGCCAGGTGCGTGCCGGTTGCTCAGTTCGCCACGAACCGCCTGGGGCTCGACTCGCGAGGATCTCCTCGGCGGCCTCGGTGCCTTGGGACAGCGCCGCCGCTCTGCCTCGAGGGCGAGCGCCACGGCGAGCACGTCTTCCTCCCGGCTTCTCAGCCTGCCCTTCCCGGCTCTCCAGCGCCTACGCGCCCTGCCTAGCCCTCACGGCCCCCTGGGGCTCAGCCGCCACGCCCCCCGCGGCGCCGCCTCCCCAGAGGCCCGCCGGGTCGCGGACTACAAGCCCCACAAAGCACCGCGCCCCCGCGCCACCTGATTGGTCGAGTCTTCCCCGGCGGCCAATTAGACACGGCCTTGTTGGCCGGGGCGGTGCCGGCGCGGGGCCCCCGCGGCAGAGCGCCCGCCTGGTGGCTCCGAAGCCGGGGCTCCTGGTGCCCGCCCGTCCGCCCGCCTGCCCGCCTGCCCGCCTGCCCGCCTGCCGTCTGCCATGGGGGGAGCTGAGAGCAGCGAGGGCCGCCGGGTGTCTTTCGAGAGGGACGAGGAGGAGCGGGTCCGGGTGCTGCAGGGCATCCGGGTGAGCGGCGCCGCCTGGGCCGAGCGGGCGTGAGGGGAGGCGCGGGGCCGAGAGCGCGGCCGGGCGCGTCCGCCGCCGAGCCCGGGTCGCGGGGTCCTGCCGCTGTGCGACCCGGACGCGAGGCTCGTGGGGTGCCCGACCCTGACGTCCGGAGGAGGTTGCGCCGGGACGCGAGCCCAGGACGGGCGGCCTTCGAGCTTCGCCCACTGGCTTCGGGAAGGAGTGGAGAGCGGGACAGGTGGGGAGGCTGCCAGGACGCCAGGGAGGCCCGGCCACGGCCCGCCGGCGGTCGGCTTCGTGCTTACGTTTCCTGAACTTGCTCCCCGCCTCCCGCCCCCATCGCCCCCAAGCGCGCGCCTCTCGTTCTGTGCGCTTGAGCCGCTTCCGATCCTGGACGACTGCACGCTGTCCTGTCTGGGGCCTCTACTTCCACCGTGCCCGAGAGTCTGGTTCTCCACAGCACAGCCCAAGACGCGCTTTAAGAATTGCGAATCAGGTCAGGTGCCCATTCCCTGCTTAAGACCCTCCAACGCGTTCCTAGCGCACTTGGGCAAATGCCTCGGCTGGTTTTACTAAGCTGCCCTGGTGTCCGTAGACCGCTCCGACAGCATCTCAGGCCGGTTCCTTCGCGTGGCACTCCCTGTCTGTTCACCAGCCACAAGTCCTCCTTTCTCCCTCCTGGAAGATGCCGATTTGCTCCAAGCACTCCAAGCACCGGATCTGTGCGTTTGCTGTTTTCTCTCCCCCGCCTTTCCTTAAATCTCAATTTCTTGTCATTCTTGTTATAGCTCAGATGTCATCTGAGAGTCCTTCCCTGATCACTCAGCCTAAAGTATCCTCCCATTGTCACACCTTGTTTATTTTCATAGCACTCGTCACAGTTTGAAACTTAGGTTGATAATCGTGTTTACTTGTTTTTTGTGTTTCCCACTAGAGAGTACTTTTCTTGAGGCTAAGGTTCTTGTCTGAGTCAGGACTCTAGCCCCAGAACCCAGAAGAGTAATAAAGGCAACTCATATTTCAGCACTGAACCATTTATTGGTAACACATTTTATTTTCAACAGCCTTGAGAGTGAGAGGTAGAGTTCTGTTAGCCCATTTTATAGATTAAGAGGAACTGAGGCACTGAGAGGTAAAGAAACTTATCCAAGGTCATGTAAAAAAACGGGTGGGAGAGCCAGGATTGAACTAGGCCAACTCCGGGGTATGCTACGTGTTCTTTCTACACCTTTGGGTGCTTTATAAGTAAGTGTAGAGTGGTTAAATGAGTGAACCTAGTGAAACAGATCAAGTTTAAATGGAATGCACAGAGCTGAGTGTTGATGAATTAGTTAATTAGGGTGGCTCAGAAAGACTTCGAAGGTCTGATAGATGCTCATTAGCTTTGTGACTCTGGGTGAAGAACTTACCTTTGAGCCTCATAGCCACATTTAAAAAAAAAAGTGTGTGTCTGTATTCCAGGTACTGCCTAGGATAAGATGAAGACGTGTGTGAAAGTGTTTAGAAAATGAGTAGAGTGCTTTGTGGAGTCTCTGCGAAGTATTTGGCACATTTGGTGCTCGCTAAGTGTTGTAGTCTTTTTGGCCTGTGGCAAGGATTAAATGGGGAGGAGATGGCTTGTGTTGGAAGGCTGAGAGGCAGGATTGGCTGTTTGGGTTCTGCTCTCTCACCCTTGTGACTTGGTCTCCTGTTTTGGGGAATGTTGGAAAGCTAGGTTGGAGTCTTCGAAGGTTCAGGGGAGTGCCTTTGGAGGTACCTCCTTATAAGTTGACAGCATGTCTTTTTTTGAGTATTCAATCAGACAGGTACATTTTATTCCTGGTTGTCTTAATAATTCTGCAAAGTATAAATTCTCTTTAAAGGTGGGTAATCACATTTAGGGAGGTTAAGGAATTCGCCCAAGGTGCTACTTGAGTAACTTCCAGGACTTTAATCCATATCTTTTGGGTGCAAAAACCAGCTTTTTTTCACTACTTCAACCCCCTCTCCTTCAAATGATGTATGCAAGGCAGCTTGGAAACTTTGTGACAGTACCTTTACTTGGCCTGAGAGGGATGCTGGTACCCCACTTAGTTGTTTCAGACCATTAAAACAAGAAGGAACATTGGTGATTGACTACTTTCTTTTCCAACTTTTATTTTAATCAGAGAATAAATGACTTGTCCAGAGGTGCACAGTAAGGTGCACAGCTCCATGTTATGAGAGTCACATCCCTTCCTTCTGCTTGTGTTTGAAAGAGAAAGACTGAACAAAGGAGGTGATGATAATGAAGTGTTTTGATGTAGGGGGCTCTTTCTGTTAGCAAAGTTATTTGAGGGTTAAGGAATTCACCTTGTCTTTAGGCAGGTGAGTGGAAAAGATCATCAGATCAACAAATCAGTTACCAAAGTGAACAAGTGCAAAGTTAATTTAAGAGAAGGTAGATGCCAAAGAATATCTGTCCCGGCTTCTTTAGAGCAAGTTAAATATTCTTAAAGACCATTTGTATTTAATCTCTGGGGCCTGGTCCTAAGAAATTGTGCTCGTTTCTTTAAAATTGAGTGCTAGGTCTTTGCTAGTTTGCATACTAATTTGTATACATTTGCATAGTGAGTTCAAGCCCTAATTCCATGGAAGGTAAAAGAAATTTAATGAATCCAAATGCTGTGGTTCTATTCATCTCCAGTTTTCAGAGCCAGCATGTGTGAAATACATAAAGGTTTCGTTTCAGCCAGAGCATTTAGCCTCGTCACCTTATATGAGAAGGCACACACATGCCGGTAATGCTCGGTACATGCCTGATTTTCTTCTTCTTCACCCCCGTAAGCAGCCGTCTTTAGTAATTCAGCTGAAGTTGGTTGCTTGTCAACATCCACGTTCCCCACTATTCTCCAACCTCTTCTTTCCAACTGCTCTGCTCCCTGGATCCCGTCATTGGCGCTGCCGGGAGTTGAGGTGTTCCCAGACTCATTGTACCCTCCAGGTTAAATCAGCTCTACCATCATTCGTTACTCCTTTGATGCCGATTCTGGATTACTGCTGAGGGGAAGATCAAGAAGAATGTAGTCAGACACAAGTGACAGTCTCTAAACATGCCAGTGCCAGAGAAGCTACATGCCAGAGTGCTGTACCCAGAGCCGCCAATTATCCATCACTTCAATGAGTGTTGCTTCCCCGGCACCAGGCCTGGCCTGGCTGAGACAGTAAGTAGCAAAGCCAGGGTCCCTGCCATCATGTAGACCTCAGCCTCGTAGGGAGAATGGACCAGAAAGGAAGAAAGAAAAGGAGGCAAAAGAATAGAAGAGCTGCAAGTGCTAGAAAGGAAACAAGAGTGCACAAAGTATTGGAGCTTACCTACTTGAGGTAGGGTGGTCACATAGTGCCTCTCTGAGGAGGAGACTTTGACTATGTGATCTGTGCCAGCTCCTAAAGAGTGTGCATATTTACTCTGTACTAAGTGCTGTGTCCAGTGTATGAAGAGCATTATATTTTGCTTGCTAACCTTGTGAGATATTATTAGCCCCATCTCGAGGTGAGAGATCACCCTCATCTCAGAAGCGAGGAAACAGATTCAGTGAGGTGAAATAACCCAAGTCACAGAGCAGGGTAGTGGTAGAGCAGGAAGCTCAGGCTCTCTGACTCCATACCCAAAGTGCTTGGCTGCCACAAGGGTAGTTTAGGATGTGTGAGAAGGTTGGCCAGGTGATGAGGCCAGACTGGTGGCCCAGGATGCCAGGTGGGGCTGTGAACTATTATCCTGGAAGCTACATTGCAGTTCTCTAACCTTTTCTTCCCTCTTCCCCTTCCTCCTTCCCCCTCTTCCCTCCCCCATTCCTTCTCCCTTTCCCTCCCTTCCTACAAAAGTTTCAAGCTGGAAGTGGTATGGGTCTGCTGTTCTGGAGGCTGAGATGGGAGGATCACTTGAACACAAGGGTTTGAATTTGACCTGAGCAACATAGTGAGACCCCCGTCTCCCAAATAAAAGCTTTATTGGCCGGGCTCGGTGGCTTAGCCTGTAATCCCACGCCTTTGGGAGGCTGAGGTGAGTGGATTGCCTGAGCCCGCGGGTTCGAGACCCGCCTGGGCAGTGAGACCTCATCTCTACAATAAATCAAAAAATCAGCTGGGCGTGGTAGTGCATGCCTGTAATTCTGGCTACTTGGAAGGCTGAGGCGGAAGGATCACCGGAGCCCAGCAGGTCGAGGCTGTGGTAGCCGGGAGCGGCCACTGCACTCCAGTCTGGGCAACAGAGTGAGACTCCAACTCAAAAAAACCCAAAAATAAACAAAAAAGCTTTATTGAAATGTATTAGCCGGGCTCCGTGGCTCAGCCTGTAATCCCAGCACTTTGGGAGGCCAAGGTGAGTGGATTGCCTGAGCCCGCAGGTTTGAGACCCGCCTGGGCAACTTGGTGAGACCTCTTTACAATAAATCAAAAACTAGCCGGGCGTGGTAGCGTGTGCCTGTAATTCCGGCTACTCGGAAGGCTGAGGCAGAAGGATCATCAGGGCCCAGCAGGTTGAGTCTGCGGTGGCCGGGAGCATGCCACTGCACTCTAGTATGGGCGACCGAGTGAGACTCCAACTCAAAAAAA